AGTGATGGCAACCTACCAGGAGTTCATTCAACAAAATGAGGACAGAGATGGGGTGAGATTCAGCTGGAACCTCTGGCCCTCGAGCCGCCTTGAAGCCACCAGGCTGGTAGTCCCTGTCTCCTGCCTCTTCACACCTCTCAAAGAGAGGCCCAACTTGCCACCGGTCCAGTATGAGCCAGTTCTTTGCAGCCGGGCCAACTGTAAGGCAGTGCTCAACCCACTATGGTGAGTTTTACAGAAAAACAGTACTCAAGCTTATAAAGTGTATCCTTTTGAATGTTTATTTTAATCATGCGTTTTGGTATATGTATGTGATATAATTTCCTTGACTTTTAGTATTTTAGTTTCATCATTTAAAGCCACAGATGTCTGTTCCTGACATTTATTTACTAGAGTGTTATTTTTGCAAATGTAAATGTGAGTGAAAGGAGATGCAGGGATTTGAATTTGACTTTTTTTTTCTAACACATCAGCACTTCTAAATGCTGAGGTGTTCTTAGTATTGGGTGTGGTGCATGAGAATTGCAAACACTAAATACACCTTGTGTATATTTCAGTCACAGCCCCTCTTATGACAATTAGATACAACCTCTATTTTCTTACTTTTGTTCTTATTTTTTACAGTCAAGTTGACTTCAGAGCAAAAATATGGGCCTGCAACTTCTGCTTCCAGAGAAACCCTGTAAGTACTGTGGCTGAGAGAATAGTTTAGTCTTGCTGCTATTTGAAACATATCGCTGCCAAAACGTGTCTCTGCATTCATAACTTAATGCTGATGAGCTACATTCCTTTTTTAGGTTGGTTAATCTTGATATCTTTCTGTGTGTGTGTGTGTGTGTGTGTGCAGTTCCCTCCCTCTTACGCAGGCATATCAGACGTGAACCAGCCAGCTGAGCTTATGCCACAGTTTTCTACAATTGAGTACATAGTACAGGTAAATACTGCATACATGTCTTCACTCTGACCGTAACAATTTGTATTAAGTCCAGAAGATGTAAGGTATAAAGGTCAACATTAACAGTTTCCAGTAGTATCACATATATGTTTTTTTAGGGATGCCTTATTTTTGACAGTGACAGATGTAATAACAGAAAAGTAGACCTAAGTTAAATTATACAGGTGGCTGTAATAAACATTTTAAATGGTAATTATGAAAGCAGAACAACGTCTGTTGTGTTTGGCATTTGTAACAATACTACTACTAGTTTATAATGTATAGTGTATTCAGAAAGTATGACTATGAGCTTCTGATGTTCACATGCCATCTCTGCTAGTGCCGGTAATACAGAAATATATATGAAGCAAGCAGCAAACCACACAGCACCACATGAAAAGGAATGCATAAACAGTAGTCTCAATTGTTTTTCACTATGTGATTATGACTGTTTGGATACAAGGCTTGTGATTTCATCAGTTTTTGACTTTAGTCTCCTGCCTCTTTACAGCGTGGTCCTGCAGCTCCTCTCATCTTCCTGTATGTGGTGGACACATGTTTGGAAGAAGAAGATCTCCAGGCTCTCAAGGAGTCTCTCCAGATGTCCCTCAGTCTGCTGCCCCCCAACGCTCTTGTGGGCCTCATCACATTTGGCCGCATGGTTCAAGTTCATGAGCTGAGCTGCGAGGGGATTGCTAAGAGCTATGTGTTCCGAGGCACCAAGGACCTTACCGCCAAACAGATACAGGTAAGTCCAGCCAAAGGCCTTTGGTAGTCTGGTGTGAGTGACACACTTATTAAGGGGGAAAAAAACCAGGAAGTCCATTTAGATTAAAAAGTACAAAAAAACAAGGTTAGCTATTGTTAAACGTGTAAAACCTTTGCTTTTCATTTCAGGAGATGCTGGGTTTAACAAAGCCAGCTGTAACAGGACAACAAGGTCGTCCTTTGGCCCCTCAGGATGCTGCTGCCACTTGCAAGTACGTAGGAGCACAAACAATTCATGTTTGTCAGTTGATGGTGTTGTTTACAAAAAAAGCAAAGCACTTTTTTTTTTCTAAAACATGTGCGTGTGTGTCTTATATTCAGGTTTCTTCAGCCTGTGCATCGAGTCGATATGAATCTGACAGATTTGCTGGGAGAGCTTCAGAGAGACCCGTGGCCTGTCCCTCAGGGTAAACGGCCACTCCGATCCACTGGTGTTGCGCTGTCTGTCGCCGTCGGCCTGCTGGAGGTATGAAAGACAAAAAATTATCTAATACATTAAGTGCATACAAGTGATGCTGTACTGTCAGTAATCTGAAATGGAACACATAAAGCCATTTATGATCACAGAAACAGTCATTTACAAGGTTTATCTACAACTAAAGCAAATACAGTAATTCACAGCAAGCTGAACTTTAGCTTCTTAAAGACAATTGTGCCACATGTACCCCTTCCGAACAGCACACGCTGTCTGATAATGATCCTCTTGACAAACAGTAAATATTCTCTGTCCGTTCAAAGGCTGTTACCTATTTGCCTTGTGCTTTATTTTCCCTCCACTGTCAACCACCCTTTTGTACTGCTAATCTGTGTGGTTATATAACTGATAGTACAACAGAACATTCCCCAGCTGTACTAGAATACATTTTGCTCTTTCACTGACTTCAGATTCACTGATTTGTCTTAAGGGATATGACTAAATGAGTGAGTCTTTTATTTATTTATTTTTTCCATGTAAAGGAGAACCGCAAACGGCTTTTGGCATCAAGTATCAGCTGGCTCATTTGTTTGTCCTCTTTGAATGATAACTCTTTGTCCCTTTGGTAAATGAATCAGCCTTTATAGAGAATGTGTTATCAAATACAGACATCATATTTAAAGCAAATTCCTGCTGTTTGGTGGCTACTTGGTTGAGTTCCAAAGAGTTCAGTATCTCAGACCTTCCCAGACTCTTGGACTCTGGACCTCACTGTTGGAAGAGTTGGTTATGAAGTCTGCCCTTTGCTTACACGTGTTCCTTGAACCATTTATTCTAACTCGTTCCCTTAATTCAACATTTATGCTTTTATGGTTCATTTTCAAATGGACTGGTTAATGATGTTTTATTTTGTGACGTAAATACCACTTGCACATATTGGTTGTTATAAAAGCAAAAAGGTTTTGACGATATATTTTACACGTGACCGCAGAATTTCTGAATGTTAACTTGGGGTATAATCATACTTGCACTAACTGAAGTCCATTTCCTGTCTCCTCAGGGTACATTCCCCAACACAGGGGCTCGTGTGATGCTTTTTATTGGAGGACCACCCACCCAGGGCCCTGGAATGGTGGTGGGAGATGAGCTGAAAACTCCAATTCGTTCCTGGCATGACATCCAGAAAGACAACGCTCGCCATCTGAAAAAGGCCACCAAGGTAAGCATGCAGTAGTACTTGTATTTGATTGAAACCTTTCCTTGCATATTACATAAATTTAACATGTTTGTTTGTTTTTCACAGTATTATGAAGCCTTGGCCAATCGTTCAGCAACAAATGGCCACAGTATTGATATCTATGCCTGCGCCCTAGACCAGACTGGACTGCTTGAAATGAAGTGCTTATCTAATCTCACTGGGTAAGTAAGCACTATTTATTACATTCATTGAAGGTGTGTAATTGCATTAGTATGCCCTTTTAAAAAGTAATTAAGAATCTTGACAATTTATTGTGCTGTGTTTCAGGGGGCACATTGTGATGGGAGACTCCTTTAATACCTCATTGTTCAAACAAACCTTCCAGAGAGTCTTTAGTAAGGACTACAATGGTGACTTCCGCATGGCCTTTGGAGGTGTCCTGGAAGTCAAGGTAAAGGTTTGATTTAGTCCTTTGAGTTATACGTGTGACTACTTTCTATATTGGGATTTGTAATGATAGAACAAAGGTGACATATATTAGCTGTTGAAAACGTTAACTGTATTTCTTTCTCTGTCTGGCTTTATAGACCTCGAGAGAGCTGAAGGTTTGCGGTGCAATTGGACCGTGTGTTTCACTCAACTCAAAGGCTCCCTGTGTATCAGAGAATGTGAGTGACTGACCCAGATATGATTTGGATTCGTTACTGTCATGTTGAGTAATCTGGGATATTTATCAAATTGCACTCTCTGTTTCGTGCAGGAATTGGGCACTGGTGGCACCAGCCAATGGAAGGTGTGCGGTCTCAACCCCTCCACTACTTTGGGCATCTATTTTGAAGTTGTGAATCAGGTAAAATAAGAACTTGAACCTCAGCATTTTAGCTAGATAGAATTACAGTAAGCTGATAAGAGTGGAAATGTTAGGACGCCAAACAATGAATAGTTGTAATGAAGAATTGTGGTTTTGTTTAGTAAAAGATTCTTCAAACAAAGGCTTTTTGTGTCTCTGTATGGGTTTTTCTTTTCTTCTTTTTTCCCCCCTTTCCCAGTAAAATAGAAATGGTTGTCGACTGCATTCTTACTGTTTCTACTGTTTTGTGTTTGCAGCACAATGCACCAGTCCCTCAGGGCGGACGTGGGGCAGTCCAGTTTGTAACCCAGTACCAGCACTCAAACACACAAAGAAGGATACGGGTCACCACCATCGCCAGGAAGTAAGACTCCTGTTTTATTGTTCATCTAAATTGATATGAAACATGACCAACTAGACTGCACCTAAAAATGTGCTTAAATTTGGTATGTTCTTACCAAACCGGTTCCTCTTAATAAAGATAATGTCGGGTGTGTAAAATGAGGGTTTAATGAGCCTCCAATGCACCCAAGAGAATGACAGCTGCAACCTTTTCATTGTTCATCTAAATGGATGTGAACCATGGCCAACTAAACTGCACCTAAAATGTACTTAAATTTGGTATGTTCTCAATAAAGTAAATGCTGGGAGTGTAAAAGGTTGGTTTAATGAGGCCAAGAGAATGACAGCTGCATAAATATTTTCCTCACTAGAAAGGATGTTTGCATTCCTGCAATTTAGACCAACGCCTTTGAGAACTGTTTGCATGTGCGTCATGTACACCGCACCTATGCTGACCTCCGCTTCTCTGGTTTCTTCTATTCTCCTTATCTCTATCCCTCCCATTCTCTTTCTCGCTTCCTTCTTTCTTAAACTACTCCAGCTGGGCAGATGCCCAATCTCAGATTCAGCACATCGAATCATCCTTTGACCAAGAAGCAGCTGCAGTGCTCATGGCCCGCCTGGGCGTCTTTAGGGCAGAGTCTGAAGAGGGTCCAGATGTGTTGCGTTGGCTTGACAGGCAGCTCATCCGCCTGGTAAGTGACACTCCTACGTAGCAGCGTTTGCAACATGTTAACAATACATAGTTGGAATACTTCCGATACCCGTGTTGTGAATAGTGTTGATATTTATCTATTGTGACTCCTGATGTGAACGTCATGCATGGTATGTATTTAAACCAAGTTATCTTGTTCCTTTGTTTCAGTGTCAGAAATTTGGCCAGTTCAACAAAGATGATCCGACATCCTTTAGACTGTCAGAGTCTCTGTCCCTCTATCCACAGGTAATTTCTTTCAAATCTAGCCATTATTATGATTATCATACTCTCCCCTAATTTAATTCAGTTATGCTGGAATACTTTGTTAGGAAAAACAATGTGAACATTGTGTGGACATTTTTCTCTCCTACACCTACAGTTTATGTTCCACTTGCGACGGTCACCATTCCTGCAAGTTTTCAACAACAGCCCAGATGAGTCCTCCTACTACAGGCATCACTTTGTCAGGCAAGACCTGACCCAGTCCCTGATCATGATCCAGCCCATCCTCTACTCGTACTCCTTCTACGGTCCACCAGAGGTCAGCCTCATCCGCTCAACACTATCATCCTATCATCAATGTTTTGTGTTACTCACTGGCAGCTGAACAGCCAGCTCCTAGCAAAAGTGTTTATATTTTTGGTGCTAAATTGTTGTGCATTGTGTCATGGATGTGTTACAGCCTGTGCTCCTGGACAGTAGCAGTATCCTGCCAGATCGAATCCTGCTGATGGACACCTTCTTCCAGCTGGTTATCTACCATGGAGAGGTAAGGCAGCAGATTTTTCAACAAATTATCCATTAAAAATGTTATTTTATATGCTTAAACTATTTACACAAAACTCTGCATGTTGTGATGCATTTGGATTTTTTTTCTCTTTTTTTGTTCCAGACCATTGCTCAGTGGCGAAAAGCAGGCTACCAAGAAATGGCAGAGTACGAGAACTTCAAACAGCTGCTGCAGGCTCCACTGGATGACGCTCAAGAGATCCTACAGACACGCTTCCCCATGCCACGCTACATCGACACTGAGCACGGAGGCTCTCAGGCTCGCTTCCTGCTCTCCAAGGTCAACCCATCGCAGACCCACAACAACCTCTATGCCTGGGGACAGGTACAGTATTAAAATATACTGTTTTATTTGCATTTGTATTTGAAACGTTTGGACTGAAATTCTCAACTAGCCTGTTTTGTTTTTAGTTTAATGAAAGGCACCAAATTTGCAGTTTTACTATAGTTATATCATTTGAGCTACATTCAAATATGTAAATGTAAAATTCTCAAATGTAGTGGATTTGTCTCCTGCCTCATGCATACATTTTTTTTATTTTCCATAAAGTTTTCATTTCATCTATTTGTACAAGTATAGACTAAAATCCCAGGATTGACTTTAAATCTTCTGAGACGTCCATCCTGATTGGTTTTTCACCCACAGGACAGGCAAACTGTCAGTAAACACAGGTCTTGGATAAGCTAACCTAGAAGATTGCAAGCTGAAAATAGCACTAATCTCTTATTTCCAAAGTCAAGGAAGTGTCAAACTATACCCTGCTTTGTACAAATACTGCAAAAAAGGAGAAAATCTACGGAAGTCTGAGAATAGGATTATCACCAGAGCGTGGTCTTGCATAAGCCAATCTTCAAAGCGGGGCATTTTGCTCATTAAAGTGGTCAGAGTTATGTCGTAATGAGATGTGTTTGCAAAGTGAGTAAATCACCATTTTGCCCCTCCCTTGTTCCCATAGGAGACAGGAGCCCCAATCCTTACTGATGACGTGAGCCTGCAGGTCTTCATGGACCACTTGAAGAAACTGGCTGTTTCCAGCTCAGCATAGAACTCGCTATTCCACCTCAAAGAGAAAAGAATTGATACAGCATTTTTCTTCCATCGGAATCCATTAACATTTCTGCAGTTTTGTAAAGGAGCCAAACCGAGACAGTCTACTGTTTGTGCTTGTTTCAGTTTGCTGTTTGGAGGCCAATGTGATGTTTATACGACACAAAAAAGGGTGATGGCACATTGGTATATTTAAAACAAAAAAAACGATAGTAATAACATGTCTACTCATTTTCAATAAACAGCTTATTTATGAGAAATGTTTCTAGTTCTCCTCAACCAAACTGTCCTCGTATCAATAATATCCCTACTTCTGTTTAATATTTGGTATTACCTCTGAAATGCAGAATGATTAGACTAATACTTTCATCTTTTTTTCTTTTCTTTTTTTTTTTTTTATAAAATATGTATCTACTGCATCAGACTGTGTATAAGGTGCTGTTTAATAGGATGATTATTTGTGTCTGCTTTTGTCTATAGCTAAATTTGACATGTCTAGAAATGTTTTCATTAATAAATTATAATGGTACCACTTGTTTAAAAAATATCCGCAATGCTGTACTGTCTTGGTGCTGATTTCTTGTCCCGATCCAATCCAACTTTATTTATACAGCACTTTAAAAACAACGTGGTTGACCAAAGTGCTTTCCAGTAAAAAACTGAGTTCGCTCAAA